CTACAACCAAGATTACTTTACCCAGCAAAGCTATCATTCAGAATTGAAGGTCAGATAAAGAGCTTCACAGATAAGAAAAAGCTAAAGGAGTTTATCACCACTAAACCAGTATTATATGAAATGCTGAAAGGTATCCTTTAAGTAGAGGAAGAAGAAGAAAAAGGTAGAGGTACAAATTATGAACAACAAATACACATCTATCAACAAGTGAATCTAAAAATCAAGTGAATAAATAATCTGATTAACAGAAAAAGAGGAACTAATGTAATAATCTGAACAATAAAGATTTAATTAAAAAAATAATAATAATACAAGAATAAACTGTTTTGTATATTTGCAACTATAAACCTACTTTTGCCTCACCCTGTATAAGTTACCACTGACTTGGAAAAACCAGACACTAAAGCAAATAGCTACCTCAGCAATAAGTATTTTTCAGGTCTTTAATATTATTATGGACTAGAGGCCAGGTGCACGAAACTCATCCACTGGGGAGTTGGGGGGGTATACCTCAGCCTGGCCTATGCCCTCTCGCAGTCCAGGACCCCTCAGGGAGTGGGCCTAAGCCGGCAGTCGGACATCCCTCTTGCAGTCCCAGACTCCTCGCTCCTTACCACCTGCCTGCTCACTGCTCCTTACTACTCAGCTCACTGTTCCTTAGCACTGCCACGGAGGTGGGAGAGGCTTCTGCCACCGCCACTGCATTCGCCAGCCGTGAGCCCGGCTTCTGGCTGAGTAGTGCTCCCCCTGTGCGAGTGCACTGACCACGAAGTGGCAGCTCCTGCGTTGAGCGCCTGCCCCCTGGTGATCAGTACGCATCATAGCAACATGTCATTCTGCCATTTGGTCTAGGCCAGGGGTGGGCAACCCCTGGCACGCGTGCCAAACATGGCACGCCAGTAACTTTTGCTGGCACGCAAAACCCTCTCTTATAATCTTCCATTTACAATTTTTTTCTTAATATTGACTTTTTTATTTTTCAGATAAATTCAGTGTAGGTGCATCTTAGATAAATAAATAATTTTACATAACAAGTTATCTTAAAGACCATAAACATGGATTGACGAGAGAGAAGAGCAATTTTTATGCCTCTGCCTTAACTCTCCCTGCCTTCCTAGATCCGACCAGTGTTTTGGTTTCAGCCTCAGACGCAATGGGTTTTCGTTGACAAGACAACTGCCTAACCCACTTATTCAAAATTTCACTCTATAAAAATGAAACCTTCTCTCTCTCGCTTTGCCCACAGGTACTAACGAAAGGGGAATAAATATCTATGTTTCTCTCGGCAGCAAAAGTCCCACTGATAATATCAAACGGAGTCATAAAGTTTTCTGTCGGACTATCAGTGTACATGTATACATTAAAAAATAAATGTATTTTTCATCATCATATACTGTTTTTGTTGCTTGAATGAATTTTATTATTTATTCAAGGTTCTTCACATATGTACACATTAAGAGATATCAAGTAGGCGTAACATGTTCTCAAAAAATTAGGGTTGGCACGCAGAAGAATTTTTTTTTTTAATATATTTTTTATTGATTAAGATATTACATATGTGTCCTTGTCCCCACGTTACCCTCTACCCTCCCCTCCCCGCTCTTGCCCTCCCCCCCGTTGTCCGTGTCCATTGGTTAGGCCTATATGCCTGCATGTAAGTCCTTTGGTTGATCTTCCCCCCTTACCCCCACCCTCCTCTACCCTCCCTCCAAAGCCCAACAGTCCAATCAATGCCTCTCCATCTCTGGATCAGTCCTTGTTCATCAGTTTATGTTGTTCCTTATATTCCACAAATGAGTGCGTTCATGTGGTATTTATCTGCTCTCCAGTTCCATCCATGTTGTGGCAAATGGTAAGAGTTCCTTTTTCTTCTTCCTCTTCTTAAAGAATACCTTTCAGCATTTCATATAATGCTGGTTTGGTGGGGATGAACTTCTTTAGCTTTTTCTTATCCGTGAAGCGCTTTGTCTGACCTTCTATTCTGAATGATAGCTTTGCTGGATAAAGTAATCTTGGTTGCAGGTTCTTGCTATTCATCACTTTGAATATTTCTTGCCACTCTCTTCTGGCCTGCATGGTTTCTGTTGAGAAATCAGCTGACAGTCGTATGGGTACTCCCTTGTAGGTAACTGACTGTCTTTCTCTTGCTGCTTTTAAGATTCTCTCTTTGTCTTTTGCTCTTGGCATTTTAATTATGATGTGTCTTGGTGTGGTCCTCTTTGGATTCCTTTTGTTTGGGGTTCTCTGTGCTTCCTGGACTTGTAAGTCTATTTCTTTCACCAGGTGGGGGAAGTTTTCTGTCATTATTTCTTCAAATAGGTTTTCAATATCTTGCCCTCTCTCTTCTTCTGGTACCCCTATAATTCTGATGTTGGTACACTTGAAGTTGTCCCAGAGGCTCCTTACACTATCTTCATATTTTTGGAATCTCTTTTCTTTTTTCTTTTTCGGTTGGGTATTTTTTTTTGTTTCTTTGTATTTCAAATCTTTGACTTGATTCTTGGGATCCTCTTGTCTACTGTTGGATCTCTGTAAATTATTCTTTATTTCAGTCAGTGTATGCTTAATTTCTAGTTGGTCCTTTTTCATGTCCTCCATGGTTTCACTAGACTCTTTGAGGATCTTACTAAATTTATTGGCGGTTTTCATAAAATTCTTGAAAAACCTTATAAACATGGCCTTGAACTCTATATCCAATCGTTTGCTTTCCTCTATTTCTGCCATTCATGACCTGTTTCTCTGTCTCCACATTTTGGCTGCTTCCCTGTGTTGATAGAGAGGCTTTGTGTGCTAGGTGTCCTGTAGGGCCCAGTGGCTCAGCCTCCCCAGTTACCTGAGGTGGACACTCTTGGTGCCCCCCCTTGTGGGCTTTGTGCACAGTCTTGTTTTAGCTATGCCTTGGTTGTTGTAGGATCACTGGGAGGAATTGACCTCCCGGCCAATTGGCTGTGAGAATCAGCTGAGTCTGCAGTGGGAGAACTTCTGTGCTGGAGACACCCTTCTGGGGTGCGACTTGCTTCAGTGGGGCTTTGGTGCTCACTGAGACTGCACCCTGAGTGTGTCCCTTATAGATCTGAGAAGTTGTGATCTGGATGGTCCCCCTCTGACCACTGGGTACAGTGGCTCTTGAGTCTAAGGAGGTGCTAATTTAGCCTCTGCCTGAGGTTCCCCAGCAGGAACTACGAAGAGGGCTGCAGATTCCCCTTCCCTTTTTTTTGGAGTTTGGAAGTGCCTTGATAAGGCTCAGCTGTGAAGGATGCAAGTGCTGTGGGGCCTTGAGCCTTCTCTTATAAGTTCTGGGTCTGTCTGACCCCGCTGCCGTTAGGTTAATTACAGGTTGCAACTGGCCGGGCATTCATATGCAAAAGCCTCTGCGGCAGCCTGGGTGGGCGGGGTCTTGGAATCAAGGGGCCGAGCAAGCAGCTATGGCCGAGCCTCAGCCCTGCCCTAAGGAGACGCACGTCTCAGTGTCCCGGTAACGGCTGCAAGCACCTCTGAGGGAAAGCCGCCCTCAAGATCGCCCACTGCCAGACAGTCCAGTTTTTCCCCCGCATGAGTCCTGAGTCCCCAGAGACTTCCCGGAACCGGAGTTCAGAGCCGTCGGGAGCTTGTGACTCCCTCCGGATTCAAAAAGACAGCCGCGTCCTCAGGTGCCAGCCCCTTTCCACGCGCGAGCCCCCTACCTCTGCGCTTCTCTTCTGCAGCTTCTCTTGCTCTCAGTGTGCTTTTCTTTCCTTCTAGTTGTAGAATTTACAGTCAGCCAGGCTTCCTGTGGTTCTGGATGATGTCCGTATTTTTTTCTGAGGTATTAATCAATTGTTGTGAGCGGCATCAACTTCCCGGTGTTTATCTCTGCCGCCATCTTAGTTTCTCCCACGCAGAAGAATTTTGAGTAAGAGATTTTGCTGGTTTTGGCACGCACTCACAAAAAGGTTGCCCACCCCTGGTCTAGGCTTTTATTATACAGGAGCATTTTAAGAACTTAAAAAATGATTTATTATTATAGACATACAGACATAAGTTTATACCTCAAAGATAAAAGACAAGCAAATATCTAAGTCATTTCATCTTTTATGGTGTATTTGTTAGGTTTTTTGTGGTGGTTGTTTTGATATTTTTTGGTGGATTTTTGCTTGTCTGTTACTGTAGTGGTTTGTGGGCGAAACACAAGTAAACTTAGGAACCCTGGTTCTTAAATCTCTTAGTAATAGTCAGTACTTAGTAACTTAGTAAGAGTACTCTAAGGTCTGTCTGCGTTGATATGAGAGTATTTGCATAATACCACATTTCCCAAGCCCCCAAGTTAATGTGACAGGTAACTACTTGGGCACATCTTAGGAAATATCTTTCCTTCTTCACACTTAAATCTCCTTCAGGAATAACGAATATTTTAAATTTCTTGGGTCAATTTCCCATGTGTCAACTGAAGAAGCACTTGCCTGCATATGTGGTGGCTGCTGGATGATCTGCTGGTACTGTTGTAGGATCTGTTGTAGCTGGGTGTGCTTCTGCATTATTCCCTGGTACTGGAAGCCAACTCGATGCTGCTGGTGCTGCTGCCAGTGTGCTGCTGCAGCCTGCAACTGTTTTAACCTGGCATCTTCTTCCGGGTCCTCAGACTAAATATAAAAGATACATTTTTATTTAAATCATAAAACAGCAATTAAATTAGTAAGAAACCTATTTTATAAAGTATTGTATTGTAATACAAAGTCCAGAATCCCTACAACTCTGCCTGATTGATAAAAGCTAGTCTATCTTTAGATAAATACCTAGCTCTATTTATACTGTGATAATGGATACCAATACCTAGGAGTTTATAAATTTCATAGTCTTCACTAGAATAATCATTTCATTGTTCTTAAATAGGACAATCATTACCCAACAAAGTCAATCTACATTTAATGTCCTTTTCACTCTATGAGAAATTTTTCTTTTGCACCTTAGTCACTTTTCATGAATGGACTACAGTGTAATTATTATGATTCAATAAAGTTTCCACATATGAGTATTAGGAGAACAATGACCTTTGGACCAATGTGAGAACTTTCCATGTGCCAGTAAATATGCTAAATGACATTGAATGCTACAATTTATTTTGCAGATGAGGAAACTGAAGTACAAAATGGTTAACTAACTTGCTCAGAGTCACCACCAGCAGTGGCAGTGCCTGGACAGCAGCCTAGGTCATTTGACAATAAAAGTTCTTTTTAGCTCTAGCCGGTTTGGCTCACTGGATAGAGCGTCGGCCTGGGGACTGAAGAGTTCCAGGTTTGATTCCGGTCAAGGGCATGTACCTTGGTTGCAGGCATATCCCCAGTAGGGGGTGTGCAGGAGGCAGCTGATCGATGCTTCTCACTCATTGATGTTTCTAACTCTGTATCCCTCTCCCTTCCTCTCTGTAAAAAATCAATAAAATATATTTTTTAAAAAATTAAAATAAAATAAATTTTTTTTAAAAAAAGGATTGAAGATCTAAAAGAGTATCTAGCCCTAACCAGTTTGGCTCAGTGGATAGAGTGTTGGCCTGAGGACTCAAGGGTCCCAGGTTCGATTCCAGTCAAGGGCATGTACCTTGGTTGCGGGCGCATACCCAGTAGGGAGTGTAAGGAGGCAGCTGATCGATGTTTCTCTCTCATCCATGTTTCTAACTCTCTATCCCTCTCCATTCCTCTCGTAAAAAATCAATAAAATATACTTAAAAAAAAAAGTGTCTAATTCTTCACTCTCATTTAAACCATGAAAAAAATAAAACACCTTTTCTCTCTCTCTCTTTTTGAAATTATAAGAGAAAGTTTATTTAGAAAGTTACAGATGTAGTAGAAGTGAGACAGCTGGGCTGCAATGGCTCAGGAAACAAGTTACAGAAGCAAAAGGGCCACTGGAACTTAGGAGAGGGAAAGGTAATGTAGCTGAGTGAAAGAGAGATGAGAAAGGCGCTGGCATGCTCCGGAGAGGGAATGCCAAAAAATGCCTTTTCTAAACCTGACAAGGCATAATCTAATATTCCATAAATGGAATTTTACTGTACTTAAAAAACACATAAAAATATATATCTATTCATGATAAAAATATAAATGAATCAGAAAAAAGTTGAACAATTTAATAAAAACCAAATAATTACTTTATGGTTACCTGGGATTCCTCCGGTGGAAGAGGGGGTGGTACCTCCTCATTAGGAGGTGGTAATGGGGGCTCCTCAGATGGAGGGGGTTCTGGTACTTGACTGGTGGCAGGTACTGTAACTTCTTTTACTGGCTTGGGTGCATCCTTTGCTATGACAGGACCCTTTTTGTGTCCTGGCAAATGCACTTTTGTCCTCTGCTGCAAACTTAGCAAGTGCTGTCGATACCAATACTGCTGCTGTTCCTACAACAGAAACCATTTTTAAGAATTTTACTTGACAATCCTATATAGCTGCAACTTGGTGTTTAGAGAGAGCCACATTTGTGTCTGCGTTCATGTGTCTATATGCAAGAAAAGGCAAAGCTAGACTGAGAAAGACAAATAAGCAAGATTTTCAATTCCTTCCCCAAATTTATACATTTAAGTTAAACCAAGCCACACATATCAATTCAACATACTTCTCTACATTTAAAACACATACTTCTGGAAGTGAGAGCAGTCTTTTTGATAAATGATCAAGTAAAACCTGTCAGTATTCACAGCTATTTGCTTTTAACCTGTCTTTAGCTGATTCTGACTTATCCAGGCGGATTTTGTAATTAATGAACACAATAAAATAATCCTACCTAGTCTCACTGCCTTCTCTCTTTTAAACATCTGTTGTATATTCTTTTAAACATCTACTGTATATTCCTAGGTATATACAGAAGTCCTCCCTTATCCAAGGGAGATACATTCCAAGACCTCCAATGGCTGCCTAAACAGTGGATAGTACTGAACTCTATATACCCTACATTTTTTCCTATACATACATACCTATGATAGTTTAATTTATAAATTAGGCACAATAAAAGATTAACAACAACAACAATACAACAGAACAATTATAATAAAGTAATGTAACGAAAGTTACATGAATGTGGTTGTCTCAAAATATCTTATGGTACTGTACTCACACTTCTTGCGATGATGATACAATGCCTATGTGATGAGATGAAGTGAGGTGAATGAGACATTATTAAGTAAAATAAGGGTTACTTGAACACAAGCACTGTAACACTGGGGATCTCATAACTGAGACAGGTGAGTGACTAATGGCATGGATAGTGTATACTTCATGGATGTGCCGGACAAAGGGATGAGTCACATCCCGAATGGGATGGATTAGGACAGTGTGGGGCAGTGTGATATTTCATAAGCAAAGCAGAACGGCGCACGATTTAAAACTTACAAATTGTTTATTTCTGGGATTTTCCATTTAATATTTTCGGACAGTGGTTGATCACAGGTAACTGAAACTGCAGAAAGGGAAACCACAGATAAAGGGGAACTACTGTATGCATAAATTAGAATAGAATGTGTTTTTTAAATGCTTTTTATTTATTTTAAAAGTCTCACTCTGCCTTCCAAATTATAATGTAATTTCATTTTCTGGAAACCTGTTTTGTGTTTTCACTTTAAAAGATCACAAGTTTAATGTGGAAAACAATTAAGAAAATACAGCTGATCCTCATTATTCATGGATTCTGTATTTGTGAATTTGCCTACTTGCTAAATTTTATTTCTAACTTCAAAATCAATAGTTGGGAGCTTTCGTGTTATTTTCTGGACATGTGTATGTACAATGGTGAAAAATTTGAGTCACTTGACTTGCACATCCCAGCTCAGGCAGAACACGGCCATGCCCACCTTTTTGTGTGGCTCTCCTACTGTAAATAAGTGGCCTTTTTAATGGTCTAATTAGGGTCATATTTTTGTTTGCATTTCTGTGCTTTTTAAAATACATATATATTTATTTATTTCAGAGGAAGGGAGAGGAAGAGATAGAAACATCAATGATGAGAGAGAATCATTGATCGGCTGTCTTTTGCACGCCACACACTGGGGATCGAGCCCACAACACAGGCATGTGCCCTGACCAGTAATCAAACTGTGACCTCCTGGTTCATAGGTCGATGCTTAACAACTCAACCACACGGGCTGGTCTCTGTGTATTCATTAGTGATTTTGTTGTTTAAAGTGGCCATCAAGCATAGTGTTGAAGTGCTGAGTAGTGTTCCTAAGTGACAGAAGGCTATGACTGTGCATTACAGAGAAAATATGTTACATAAAGCTTCATTCAGGCATATGTAACAGTGTTGCTGGCTGTGAAGTCAATTTTAATGAATCAACAATGTATATTAAATAAGGGTCTTTAAACAGAAACACACATAAATCAAGATTATGTCTTGATTAGCTCATGAAAATGTGACCAAAGGCTCACAGGAACATAACCCTTTACTTCCCTTAGGAGCAATGGTTCAGTAGTTATTAATTCAGTGTTCCCGGTTACTTTATAGTTCCCAGTGAGTGACTGTATAGAACAAAATACTTCAAATAAAGAGAAATGACTGCGTAAAAAAGCAATAACTAATTGTTTAAATCAGCAAAAAAATTTTACCACTCAGAAATAACTACAGGATCTTCATTATCCCAGGAGTCACTATATACTCTCCATGGTTAAAAAGTTGCATAAGGGAAAAAAAGTTGTCATAACACTAAAATATTCACTAATATACTGCCCTGTATATGTCTATAATTAACAACAGCATATATTTCTACTATAATTATAAGGATGCAGGATTTGTTTGTTTGTTTGTTTGGGGTTTTTTTAGGATGCAGGATTTGATAAAATGTGATGTTGGAGAACTTTGAAACTCATTACTGAGAGCTGAGGATCTAACAAAAGTCCTACTGGTTAGCAAGCAAAAATCCTATATATAAAAAGCCTGTGGTTGTGATGCCCTCACGCCATAATGACCGATCACCAGGAGGCTGCGTGCACTTTCCTTTTAGTGTGCACGAATTTCATGCACCAGGACACTAATAACTTTTATAATAGGAACTACAAAAGAGAATGTTTGACTATCAAAGGTTGAAAAATGGCTCTGGTAAAACTGATAAATTCCTAAAATACTTTTTCAGTATATTAAAAACTAAATAAAAGATGATCTATAATGTTGCCATATAATTTTGTTAGAAAAATTATAATATGGAATTATAATCTATACTTTATTTTTTGTTCATTCTAAGACTCAGCCATTCTTTATGATTTTTGAGCTCTGTTTTTTCAAGGTTATGTACCAAATAAATTTTTTACAATAAACTTTTGGTCTCTATGTTAAATGGATTCATTTTATTGGCATTCACTGTGATTTATTATCTTTGGATAACCAGGATTTTCTATATTGCTAATATTTTATTGTATACTTACCCAATTTTCTATATGAAAGCAGATGCAGAAAATATACATAATATATGTAAACTCTTTTCTCACTTAACATACTGTTTTGTTATCTTTTTTTCCACTCAGGATAATTTTCTTAGAAAATTAATGTTTTGCTCTTTTCTTTTATCTGGTGCTTAAACATACAGTGTTGGACCATACTGTAGGATGTCAATCAACTGAAGACATCTCTCTAGGCCACTCATTTCTATGCTCTGAAACATGCTCCAATCCACTGGGAAGAATACATTTCATCTCACTAAGTCCATTTTGAAGTTTAGGTTATGATTGGGGTTTTTTGTTTTTAATTATCATACATATAATCATCAGCTTCCAGGATATAATTGCTTTTACCATTCAATCGTAAAAACAAGCAAACAAACAAAATAGTACAGTGATCATAATAGTCAACAATACAGTATTAAAACATTTTCAATCTTCTTTTATTATTTTATAAAAATTGCAATAGGTTTACCTTTCAGCTTAAGAAAGGCAAATAAGTCTGTTTCTAATAGAAGTTAAAAGTTTCTCTTTTTTTAGTTGCTTTGAAAACATCACCAAAAGATACAAACTCTCTGTCACAACTAGAAACTAATGGTTACAGAGATGAAGATTCTTTATGAATTTGCACCTTATTTTCATGCTTCCCATTGTTGTCTTAGACTTAGTCTAGGGTTAAGGACCTTATTAGGAGCTCAAGAATTGCCAGTTTACTGACAAAAGGCACTGCAGGTCAATTTCTACTTAATATGAACCCAATAAGCAGGAAGCATATTTACTTCAATCCTAGGACTAGGTTTGGACACATTCTTAAAGCTTTCCAAATGAATAATGATGACATCATTAAAAAATGCCCTCAGTGACTCCAGAAGGATGATTTACTTTTATTTTAGAAAGGAATAAAATCTGCTTACACTTGCTAATGAAGCTGAACTAGTACCTGGCTCTTTTAAATGTCCCATCATATCACACAACTCCATTTCACATGGAATGTTAGCTCACAAATCAGGTCAAATCACAGCATATGTCACATTAAAAAAAAATTGGCCCGGCCAGTGTGGCTAAGTGATTGAGCATCCATCTATGAACCAGGTCACAATTCAATTCCCGGTGAGGGCACATGCCTGAATTTTGGGCTTGATCCCCAGTGTGGGGCATGCAGAAGGCAGCCGATCAATGATTCTCTCTCATCATTGATGTTTTTCTCTCTCTCTCTTCCTTCCTCTCTGAAATCAATAAAAATATATTGATTAAAGAAAGAGACTGAATGGAGTTAAAAAGTTAGGATGCAAGAATTATTTTTCACAAATATCATTACAAAAAAAAGGTGCTAATTTATTCATCAAGCATGTACTGACTGTTGGCTACCAGTACAATTATGAACTAGGCACTAAACAATTTTTCAAGTAGGGAAATATAAAGTAGAGTAACAGAATGAGAAAGTGGGAGTGAGAGTGAGTGAGAAAGAGAGAGAGAAACAGAGAGAGAGAGAGAGAGAGAGAGAGAGAGAGAGAGAGAGAGAGAAAGGGTTTTTAAAAGTTAATTTTGGAGGCCATGCCTATCCAGGTTGATTATCATCTATAATAATAAAAGGGTGATATGCTAATTAGACCGGACGTCTTCCGGACATCATTCCGGATGACCTTCCTGACAAAGCCGGGGTGGAGGGAAGCCAACCCAGGTCCTGGGTGCCCGTGGGCAGCCTGAGGGAAGCCACCCTGGGTCCCAGATGGCTGCCGGTGGCTGGAAGGAAACAGCCTGTATCCTGGGTGCCAGAGGGAAGCCGGTGCTGGCAGGCGGGGGAAGGAAGGCATACTCTTGCACAAATTTTTGTGCATCGGGCCTCTAGGGTAATATGCAAATTAACCATCACTCCACGACAAAGATGGCAGCGCCCATAACCACAAAGATGGCAGTGCCAGACGGAGGCATGGAGCCGGCCGGAGCAGGCAAGATGCTTGGCTTCCTTTTTCACCCCAACGACGAAGGAAGCCAAGCCTCCCGCAAGCCCCAGCCGGCTGCTGAGGGCTGGCCTCTGGGCGGCAGCCACGGAGCCAGCCAGAGTGAGTGGGTGGGTGGTGGCTCCAGCCCGGAGCGAAGGCCCAGGTCCCGGGTGCCGGAGGGAAGCCAGTGCCGGTAGCCAGGGGAAGGAAGGCCTATTCTTGCACGAATCTTCGCGCATTGGGCCTCTAGTAAATGCCTATAAAACTAAATGTATGATGTTTTTTATATCCTAAAGTGAAGGGGAGGAGGGAGAACCTGATAAAATAATGTATTAGATTTTCATTTTAAAAATTTACTTAAAATATACTTATTTTCTGTATTTTTGAGGTTTACATTCTACTCCAAGAAATTAAGGTCACCAGATAAATCTTAGTTCCATCTTTTTTTTTTAAAGCTCCTTTACTTCACTTCTTCCTCCAGCCCCTGCCTTCATTCTCTCTCTTTCAGTCAAACTTCTTGAAAGAGTGGTCTATACTCACCATCCCCAATCCTCACCTTCCATCACTCCTCAAATCAATGCAATATGGCTTCAGTCACTATGAAACTGCTCCTGCCAAGGTCAACAATAATCTATATGTCAGTAAATGCAAAATATAACTCAAAGTCTTTATCTTGCTCAACCTCTCAGCAGTACATGACAGAGCTGACCACTCCCTCCTCTAAGAAACAGTCTTCCCTTCACCTCTGTGGCACTACACTGTCCTGATTTTCCCGCTATCTAAGCGGCCTTTTTTCCTGCTGGTTCCCTGAGATACCGAGATTCTGTGCAGCTAGGCTCAATGTCCATTAACCTCTATTCATACTCCACATACTTCCCAGGAGACCTTATCTTTTTCTGTGCCTTCAAATACCATTTTTATGCTGATGACTCACGAGTCTATATCATGTTTCCCAGATCTCCCTTATAGACTCCACACCTACATCTAACTTCCAATTGGACATCTCCCTTTGGACTCTTATGTCTCAAGAACTTGAAACTCAGTAGATCTAAAACTT